GAACAAAGTCATCACCATCAATTTATCCTTCATTCAACAATCTCCTTCCAATATACTCCTCCAAAACTCTGAAACATATATTTATAAGGGTATGCATAGCAGAATTATTTATATAGCAGAGCAAATAAATAAAAATCCAGTAAAAATTGACTATGTACATCAAAAGTAATGAAAAACCAAACGCTATGAATCCTATCTGTATCCCTTGTGTGGCACTGTAGGATAAGCAATGGACCACGAGGTCAGTACAAGCTAAAAGGTTGGTGGTTAAAACTCACCAGCTGCTCCTGTGTTGCTGTGAGCCAGAACTGATTCGTCAACACTTAACAACAGCAACAATAATAAAAACAAAGTGAACAGGTGGGTATGGGAATAAAAGCAAAATTTTTAAATTAGGAAAAAAAAAACAAAAAACACTTGAAAACGTAATATGCTTGAAGGAGCCAGGATCTAAAGGATAACATCTGGAAATTTGGGACTGAGAGGAACAGGGGTCATTGGACAAACTAACATTAGCAATAAACTGATCTCTACCTATTTTTCTGTCACCCAGAACCTCACCTTTTGTGTAACTTTTCCCCATAATAAATTTTATCCTGATTATTTAAACTGAGTACTCAGCCTCTTTCTTTGCTACGTCCCTACCTTCTGCTGTTAGCAGCTACTGTCAGGTTTCATCAGGAAACTTTCTGGTCCACCAATGTGTCCTGAGTTAGAGAACACTGTAAGGAAATAATCAGTCAAATCAAGAATCTTGGTTATGTCTACAAGATAACTGAGCTAGGTTTTCAAAAAGTACATGTCTTTAGGGGAAAAAATGAGGGGTGTTTTGTTACAGATCAACAGAGATGTAACAAACACACACACTGCATTAACATTCATTGGATCATGGATTGTAGGACTATAAATGATATTTGGAAAACTATCAGAGAACCTGAAACTACAATGAATATCACATGAAATTGTTAATTTTTCATAATTATATGACATTAAGTAGGAGAATGTCTTTATTCTTAAAATGTGTTTATTGACACAGATGAAATTTTATGGAGTTTGTAATTTATATTCTAATAGTTCAGTGAAAAAAATGAACATTATAAGTATACATACAGAGATAAAG